GCGTCTACCAAGGCTACTACCTTGTACTCGAGTTCGTTTAGGAGAACTTTCACCATGATCCTCCTTGGTTTCGCTCTGACCTTATTCTGATCCTCATGTTGACAAGAATCTCTGTGGAGTTCTTCCCTAGCCCTACGTTTTTTTTGGGGGGGAACGTCATCTGGCTCAAACCCTTTGCTCTCTTCCACTCCTCCATGTTTTCCTCCCCCATCGTCGTCTTCGTCCTCCTTTCTTCTCTTTCCTTCGTCTCCGTCACTCACAAAAGATTTACCCTCATTACTATCGTTGTCGCAGGGATTTCAACCGATGGGCCAAGCTGGTCGATTAGTAGCCCCATGACATTTGAACACATCGCGAGTTCGCATAGACAGAAAACGAGCTAGCTCGAAGATAAACCGTCTCCGAATCCTGTTCGTATGAAAAGCTTTCAGGCGAACTACGGCTCTTTCGTCTTCAAAATCCCCCCAGCAAAAAGATTCGTGCGCCAAGTGGTTGGCGGATGGGTTGACGATTGTTACGTCTATGAGAATGGACTTGGTGCAGAGTTCCTCTTCCTTCTCTCCTGCGTGTAATCCNCGTATGAAAAGCTTTCAGGCGAACTACGGATCTTTCGTCGTCTAAATTCCCCCGGCAAAGGCTTCGTGCGCCAAGTGGTTGGCGATGGCAACGATGACTCGATTGGTGCCTTCGCCAAGACCATGATTCGTTTAAAAAGCAGCAGTAAGGAGGGTAGATCTAGACGTGGGTGGATGTATGTTTTTTTTTTGTTTTTGATGTGTCTGCTGTGTGACGGACTCAGTGTTTATGTCGGTCGTGCACCACCACAAAAATTGCCTTCCCGCATTGCCGGTTGGAAGGCAACATTGTCCTAAAAGGTGAATCGTCTACACCACGAGAGCGTGTGGTTGGAGGACCGGCTGGTACTACTATCCTCGAACGTGTGCCAAGTGCGGAAGGTAAACATTGTCGCGGAATTGGGAGTGGATAACACACCGGCGTGGCGGAAGTCACGCGCGTGCCCGGCAACTCGTCTCGCGGCACGATCCTCTAATGTCGGTATGCTATGAATGTCAAAGTACCTCGATCGCCCAGCCCATCTTAGCTGCCGTAGCTTGCGCAACGCCCAGGTTGATGTCCTTATCCGACAGTTCCGGGCTCTCGTCAACGGCCTCGGTACAGGCCGTCTGTATGCCCGGCGGAACATTTCCCCTCGGGATGGCACAAGGGAGGCGCTCTCTGGAGATTGTAACTTGCGACGTGACAGCCGCAGTGGGCTACAAGAAAGAAACAAAAAGAAAATCAACATGATGTTCGGGTATATGGAAGTATGGCGCAAAAGCTCCGTGATGTGTTGGTACGGGGCGCTAAATATCACCATCGGCCGATCTCCTGTCGCATACGGACGTGAGACCACGAAGCAATTTCTACCCGGTGCGCACCTTAAAAATCCCCTGCGCATACGCCATTTGGAATGCGATCTCGGTCCTAGCCTCCACTTTCGCCGCCGCCTCAGGCGATGCGAGCGAAGGCCTCAACCTTCCGACCGCGTGAAATAGCAGTTTCCACTCCGGTGTTGTGTTCCGCGCCGAATAGTAAGACGGTGTCGCCTTAACGCGAGTATCTGCGGCATAAGGCGGCATTACGCTGGTCACTTTTGTGGGGCCGGGTTACCGAGAAGAAGCGCATCTCCGAAAGTATCCTGCACTGACGCCATTAACAATAAGTGGCTAGAGTGTCAGCCATTTCGACCTCCCCGTTGCCGCGGACGAAGGCTTAAAAGTTCACGTTCAAACGCAAACTTCATGCTTCTTCCTTCTAAAGACGTGTCAAACATAAACCACATACCACCGCGGACATCAACAAGTGCACCACTTGACCACATAAATCGGTGACTCGGCAAGTAAGTCACGCTGTCATGTATTGGAAAGCATCTCTCGCTCGATGTCCTCCCTATCATGTCGGGTTTGGCTGCCGACGACGAGAGAACACTAATAATACATATGGGTTGAAGACGTACACAGGATACATAATAACATCCAACGACGATATGAAATGTCACCTGTTCACGAGGAACATCAAAGCCTTGGTTGGCCAGTCCACGCCTTTCCCGGGGTGTTGGATGTC